ATAAAAAAAAACAAAATTTTGTACAAAAAATATTATATACACTAAAAGTGTTTACAAAAAAATTTTTTATAACAAAAAGTTTACACAAAAAAATAAAAAAAAAAATAACAAGTTAAACACGATAAACATTCCGATTTCACATTTGAACCATATTTAATATAGACTTACTGAATCTGCGGATCCACCTGTTCCTGCTCATTATCGATGTCATCCACCACAGATCGAAAAGCTTGTAACCAATCGAAGAGATTAATCATACGGCCACATTCCAGATGCAGTTTATATGCAACAGATAAATCCGGCAGAGTGGCCAGTAATTGATTGGATTCCGACAATTGGCAACATTTGCACTGCAGGTAGTAGTGTGGATTGTTGAGGGCCATGTGAAGTGCCGCACGTGGCGCGCCTATAATATTACGACGCACTGTGGACACATCGCTAAAAACGAAAAGCTCATGTAGGGGCGGAGCACGTGTAAGCGGCGTCAAATGGCTCACGACAATTTCATTTTGTATGTGCAACAACGTTTGTGCAACAGCTTGTGCATATTCCGAAGTCGGTTTATTTTGCTGTTTGGACATTTGCAATAAATGATCTTTCAGATCTTGACGGGATGTAAATTTTTGTTGTTTGCTGCTTTCTGGAGTTGCTGCTGTAGCGGTCGGTGCGGCTGTACCGGTCGGTGATTTATCCTCCGTACCAGCCATTACAACTCGCGTTAGTAGAACTTTCAACGCTTGAAATTTGGTAGTGACCGTTGTCATGCAATCATGGGCTAGCTCTAAGCCAACGATTTCGACGTTCATAAAGTCCTCCGTCACCGAAATCGCTTTAGAGATTTTGGCGACAAATTCATCTTTCGACATAAAACTAAGTATCTGCCAACATTCCTTAAATTCCGGTTGGTCGCATAACTCTTTTGAGAGGCAAAACGAGTATAGTTCACGACGCTGTTTACCCAATGGACATTTAGGTAAATCACCAACTAGCACGGTGAAAAATTCCAGGAATATTCGTAATAGCATAAAATGTATATGACAGTCGCGCAATAATTGTGGCAGCTTCTTTTTCAAATAGCTGTCGTCGGTAAGTATGGCGATAATACGTTTGCAATCGTTGATGCTCTCCACATACGGACGAAATGAGAGCAGGTGACGTATACTTTCAATATCTTCATGTGTCAAATCTTTGATTCGATTCAAAGAGGCAGTGTAATTAGCACATAGTGCGTAGGCATTGCCTTGATAAAAGTGTTCCATTAGACAGTATTTATAGGCTTGTATGAAACCATGAATCGAAAAGTCATAGTAGAGGAATATGTGTGTAAGAAACTTGAAAGCCTTGCCGGATAGATGGAATGCGTATTTAGGTGAAAGTATAACACGCTCCAGAATCTGAAATTAAGAAATAATAATGAAATAAGCCAGAAAAAATGTTTACAACATATCTACCTCATTTAGACAAACTGGAGCCGTTTGAGTTTTAAAGACACAAAGTTTGATCTTGCTTGTTACGTGATAGGGTAATGCGTTATGTACAGCCGAAACAGCAGTTGCCACACCGAAGACTAACACAAACGGTAAATGTGTATAGTAAGTGCTCAGCATTAGTATGATGTCCTGCAGTATTGTTGTATTAAAGCATTCAAAATCGGGCAATATAACAACCAAAGCATGAGGACGCTTTGAATAGTATTTTTTCGGTGAATCGAACGCATCTGAAACATCTTCAGCAATATCCTCTACTTCACTCCCTGTTTGCAGCTGCGGTTTTATGTATTTGCGGCGATACCAGTGCAACAATTGACGCATGTTGCATTGTGTACGTCGTAGACGCTTCTTTTCACGCTGTTCCGTGTCTTCATCTTCCAGTTCTGTGGGTGGTGAACGTTCTGCGTTTTCAACAAAATTATACACCATTGTCTCCACTGCAGATTTTAGTGTACCACAATCACGTGATTGCAGCATACAAACCGAAGCCGACATTTTTTGCAAGATACGCTGCGTTAGTGTGGCAAATTGTTCCAAGTGGTCGGGTTGATTTACTCCTTTAATATGGGTAACAAGGGAGAAATATTTACTAATTCCATTATATTAATAACGGATTTCGCTCACCAGTTAGTAGTGCTGCGGCGGGTACTATCTCGTCCATGTCATTTGTGTCCATATCTGCACTACATTCGTTTTTCACATAAGTCACTACATCTTCCAAAGTTTTAGCATAGCTTTCCGATTGTAGTGCTTCAATGTGACTTTCTAATTTTTGCCAAGTGTCAGCATAAGTTGCATAGTAAGGCTGTCCAGTCACTTGTTTCCTCAAAGCACTTACATTGTCGTCGTTGTGCTTCCGCTTTGCAGCCCCGCTGTTTTTTGCGTTGTTCGTGCCTTTGAAAACAAAACATCCCTAAAAGCCAGGATTATTTATGATGGAATAATCATATTTATCCACACAAACCTTGGACACTGAAATAGTTGGATCCATCACGTCGGCCATAATAAAGAGTTATGCTTTAATTTCTTTGTTCCAATAATGAAGTAAACTCTGTTATGTTTATGCTTACGATTGCAATGCCCTAGAAATAGTTTATTAACAGAAGCTTATAAAAAATGCAACCAATGCGGAATCAAACAATTATTAATAATATATCGCATGCGAGAAATAAAATAAGTAAACAACTGCTCTGACATTTAAAGGTTCGAATCCAATTTACGCGCCAAATAATCAGCTGATGTCGGTGTTGCTGTTCGTTCCAAATGCGTTTTTAATTGTGTATCGCAAAAATTAATTTGCTTTTTTGGTACCTAGTACAAATACTGTAAAAAAAACAAAAACTGCAAGAATAACACTAATCTAAATTCACGTTTTATTATTTAGTTCAAACCTATCCACTGTAATATATGAAATTTATTTAGTAAAGTTGGAATTGTAAAGATATTTCTTTAATCAATTCATAGCTGCAGCAGGTGCAATTCATAAATCTCTTCGATAAATGATATTTAAAGCAACTCTGCCGCAAAGCGAAAACAATTTACTTTTGTTGCTTTCTGACAGCGCACATATTTTTTTTATTGTATTGCAAATCTTTCAACATAAGCAAAATTTTTATTTTTTGCAGCGTTTAAATATATTTTTAAATAATATAAATTGGGTATAGTTGAATACAAATGTATTTAGATGACTTAGATATCTACGAAGATTTGGATACGTTCCAGCAAGATGAAGAAAAGGTAAGAAATATATTCAAGTTTAGTCACTTGTGTATATGAAGATTAATCCTTTCGTCCATAGAAAACCGCAGAACTTCTTTCACTGGAAGCAAAGTATAATGATTCCCTAAAAACGATTGAAACTTTGCAGTTGGAAAATGCGGATTTGAAAAAACAAATAAGACGAATAGGTATCAATTTTCAAAACTTGTTGGACACAGCAAAAGCAGAGATCAAACGCAAGGACAAACAAATCGAACAATTACGCAAAGAGTAAGTGTGTGTAGATAAATTAAAACTTCTTATAAAAAAGTGGTGTAATTTTTATTTAATAGGAAGGATGATATCTGCTTCAGACGTAAGCAACCAAGAAGGGAATATACAGATTGTGCAAGCACATCACAAAACACAAATACTTGGTTTAAAAACGAAACAGTCTTACCTACAGCAAATACTAATGAAAATGTTGAAACCATAGACAATGAACATCCGAGTGCAACCTCGTACAATTCACGCGGTCGTGAAATTACACATATAACCGATGACTATAAGAAACAAGAACGTCGCAATGAAAGTTTGGAGCGTAAGTACGATAGTGATCCTCAGCGTGAAAAATACAATAGAAGCAATAAACAAAGGGAACAGCATGTGTCGAGATACAATGCGCGTAATACGGAACGTGATGGAAGTGTCCGAAACGCCACAAGAGATTATAGTCACAGTCATGATAACAGAACAGTGGAACGGGGTCATAACATTAAAAATAAATCTTTTAAGAGTGAAACTGAAAAAGAATCATATAACAGTACAGACAATGACAGACGACAACATTCCTATGATAGATTGGGCGGCCGTTCAAGGTAAGTTTCTTAATTGCTTATTGATAAATTGAGAGGTTAAATACATTTTTTTTTATTATTTCAGATATCACGACAAAGAGGAAAAACCCAAATATGAAAGTTATGATGGTCGCCATGACAGGCGGAGCGATAGCAAAGATGCAAGAATCAGGTCTGAAAGTTCCGACGTGCGTCATGATAGGCGAAGTGATAGCAGAGATGCAAGAATCAAGTCTGAAAATTCTGACGTGCGTCATGATAGGCGAAGTGATAGCAAGAGACATCACGAGGATGCAAATAAAAAATCTAAGGATACGAATGAGAAAGCGCGTGATAAGGTTATGAATATTAATAGAAATGAAAATGTAACTTATACAGTAGATGGCCTTACACGAAGTAAAGATATTCATGGGAAAGCACCGAATCCTTTTAAAGAAGGAGGTAGGGAAGATAAATTAAGTCTAAATCCCAAATTTTGTGAAAGAACGCATGAAGACACAAAGAATATGAAAAGAGATCAGGGAGATAATTTTTTAGATAAGCATCTGCCAGCATGCAAAGACTCACAAAGTCTTGAAAAATTACTGGCAGAGCAAAAGCTAACCAAGGAAAAATTAATAGCGCTAGAAAATGAGTTTTCTTGTAAAGAAACGGATAAAAATGCAAATCGCTTGGTGAAGGCAGACGGTATGACGACGCCAAAGAAAACAGCTTTGTTTGACGAACTTTTCGGAAACACACCCACTAATGCGGGCGATCTAAACAGTAATGTGATTGACTTTCGAAAGGATAGCAGCAGTTCGGCAACAACCTCTCCCAGCAATTATACCGATACCAGCGAACCGACAATAATATCTTCCACAATCAATAGTAAGAAAACAGACACGAATGACTATTATATACCAATAAAAGAAGAACAAAACAAGCAAAATAAAAATGATGCAAATCTTGTGACCAACAGCGATAACGGTAGTTTGACAGGTAAGCCGCTTATTGCCAGTCTCACTAGTGAAGATCAAGCTGCAAATGAGAATTCAGCTAAAAAGCCGGTCACTGGTGTGAAAAGAAATGAGGAAACTGTAGATTATGCCAAGATAGCCACAATTTTACTATCAGATGACGAGGAAGAGACTGAAATTGAACAAGCAGCTGAAACACACAAAGTTGAAATATTAAAAAATGAGCCAAAATATAATGGAAATAAAATTAATGGTAAGTTTTTTATACAAATATTAGTGAAAAAGGTAGTAATGGTAGTTATTTTTTAGGTGGCATACAAATTTTGTCGAACATACGTCTACCCAATATTTATGAGATACGTGCACACCAAAGACGATTGCGGGAACTCGCTGCAGCTAAAAAGCCCAAACGTGCTAATATAGTGGAAACAAGTATAAAACCAAATGCAGCACAAAATATAACAAAAGTGGTAGTACCAGTTTCGGAACTCGTTACCAAAGGCATACAAAAGAATTCGATAACAACATCTACCGCTGCAGAAAATAATGAAGGTAATCCAATTATTTACTTAGGCAAGGAAATAATATACTTTTTTCTATTAATATACATATTAGGTATTGATTTGGAGGAGGAAAGCATCGAAACAAAAATTCAACAGGATAAAAACTCCCCACAGTTGAGCGCTGGAATTAGTGCTGATACAAATGATATTACACTAAATAATGAAACCACGACAGAAGTGAGTAGTTCAGACACAACTAAAATTGTTGACCAGAAAAGCATAGAAAACTTGAATCTGGTGGATGAAAATGTTCCGCCGCGTTTGGAAGCGAACACAGGAGCTACGCATAATGATAAGTCTGTTGCGGATGATGTTGTGTTGAAGGTTGCTACATCGAAGCAAATTAAATCTGATACGATAGAAATTAAGCGCCAAAATATAACTGAGGAATCTATAAGATCAAGTAATACTGAAAAATCTGAACAGGTTATAAATGGAACAGAGGGTATTAATGAAATATTAACAAAAGCGAAAGTCGAGCAAATAGCCATTTCAGAAACCATTTTAAATAATGCTATTAGTGATGTATTGGAGACTGTTGAGCTTATAGTCCAAAATGAAACAAAATCGCCACAAATTGCAATTATAACGGATATAGAACTAGCTGTGAGTTCAGCAACTAATATCAACAATGAAAATAATGAATCTGGCGATTTGCCTTTGAGCCACACTATTGCGAACAACGATATGCCAGTTATGGATTTGTTGACAGAACTATTACCAGACGACAGTGAACGGAAAATATCAATGGTAAAATGCTTAGAGAATATTAAAAATTCACAAGAACTTGCTGAGGGCAACAACGAAATTTCGCAGACCAGTAAGACGTCGGAAAATAACGCAGGTATGGCACTCGTAGAAGAAGAGTTACTTTGTGGTGAAAATACGAACCATCTATTGCAAAATAGTCCAATGAATATTGAAGCAAAAGAATCGTGCAAGCTAAATGTAATTGCTCAGCAAAAAGAAATTACTGAAGTTAAAGAAATTGATGAGCAAAAAGTGGGTACTACAGACGAAGTGAATATGCAAGCAACTGAAAAACTGCTTGAAGCTGTGAATACTGCAAATGAATCCACGATCGAAGTAAAAGTTATTTCAGAGACTGCTGAGAGTAACTGTGACTCAGTTTTAAGCGCAGAGAAGAGCGAAGAAAGCAATCGTAAAACTCATGAAGATAATACAGAGCAAAAACCAATTGCACGAAGTGAGGTTGTCATACAAAAAGTTGTCCCTGAGTCAGCAGCATATAAATCGGAAGAATTGCTTGTCTCTGCAGACACTACAAATGTAAGTTTCAGTGAAATTGATGATGGCATAACGAAATGCAGCGAAGTTATGGTACCTGATACCACAAACCGAATTATAAATGAAACAGAAAGAAGTGTCGATTGCAACAGGAACGTGGAACATAGTGGTGCTATTATTGATAAGTCAGAGAGTACAGAACCCAACGGTATTTCTGAAGAATCCGCAATTGCAGAAAACGCGACTGAAAATGGTAGTGGTCCTATTATAGAGAAGCCGGAGAGTGCAAAATGTAACGGTATTTCCGAAGAATTCTCAGTTGCAGAAAGCATCACAGAAAGTGATAGTAGTCCTGTTATTGAGAAATCGGAGAGTTCAAAGCATAACGGTATTTCTGAAGAGTCCGCAATAGCAAAAAGCACCACAGAAACTGGTAGTGGTCCTGTTATTGAGAAATCGGAGAGTACAAAATCCACAATAGCAGAAAGGCACATAGGTGTTACTGAAGAAACCGCAATTGCGGAAGGCTCAATCGTTCTCGACGAAAGTGTGCTGCGTGAGACCGAAGCTGCGGTGTCCTATTTAGTTAACAGCATGGACAAGCTGACCAATAGCTTTTTAGACGGAAATGAAAAAATAACGGAAGTTCAAAAAGTACCCTACATAGATACGAAGTGTGCGGTGGAATCAAAAGTAGTTGAGAAACAATCTAAGACAGTCGATAACCATCGAAATAAAAATCCAAAAAGCAAAGCGAAAGGACTTCCGGATACCGTTAATAATTCACCCGAACGTAACGTGCTTATTGAGAATATGAAGCGGTCCGAAGTTTTGTGGAAATTTAAAATACCTAAAATTTCTGCGAAAAGGAAGAGAGAAGAGAGCGTCGATGGCACTAGTGCGAAAGAGTGTAAGAACGCAGCGACTGACGTAGTTAAAAAACAGAAACTTTCTATTAAAGCAGTAGAACCAATAATTCCATATAAGAAGAAGAAGAATGAAAAGATAATACCAAAACAAGTGTCAGAGGAAACAAAGATGCTTCAAATCAATGGGAACATAGACAAGAATCTGTTGGAAACGAAAACGTTATTTGAGAACCAAAAGAAAAGTGAGCGTATCATAAAAGAAATCGACAACTGGGCAAGGCGGAAGGTGGGTGAGACAACGGAAATTTTCGAAACAGAAAATCCAATAGAATATGCGCAAGCACACAAAATCTCCTGTGACGGAACTGTGAAAAAGGCACACAGCAAAGATGAAATAAGCACAATACAAAAGACTGATGAACACAAGGCACACATAGATAAAAATAGTGAAAGTACTACGAATGATTCCGAATGCGACAACGCAAAACAACGGGATTACAATAAGCTGCCAACAGAAGAGAGAGGTACTCGTGAGCGCAGTTGTGAGAATACAGATCAAACACAACTGTTAAAGGGACAGAACACAAAAATTCAAGAACGCCGAAAGAGTCAACAAAAAGTAGAGCACGACGAACACTCACAAGGCACGAAACCTCGAAATGGCAAACACGATGTGGAAATCCATAAGGAAAAGAGTCAAAAATGTGACGAAATGGCAGATAAATGTGGGCAAAGGATTGTTACAAAGGTTCAGCGTGGTGACCTAAAAACTCTAAAGGTAGAAATTATTGAAAAAGCAAATAATACCGTTAAAAAATCATTTGGAAGTCATGAGTTAGAGGAGAAATCTAAGAATTCTTCCGACAGGAATATTCAAAACGAAGGTGCCATTAAGAAAGCGCTTGAAAGTTTGAACAATTCCACTACGGAGAACATAACCGCTAAATCACAGGTCGCAGTAGCTACAGTTGCCTGCAAAATAAATAATGTAAAATGTGATATTTCAAAAGAGTCAGCAGACGAGCTAAGCCGGAAGAAAACAAGCAATAAATTTTATTCCGTTGCGAAGAAAAAATCAACTGAGCAGAAATTGAACGAAGAAGAGACTGATAACCACGTGAAGCGCGTCATAACCGACATTGGTGGGGGTAAAAAAGAAAACGTACAAAAACTAACGAAAAAAGAACTTACTACTACCGAAGAGATGCAAGTTGCAAGCGATTCCCATACAGAAACCACAAATGATCATCAAAGAATCGCAACCGAATTCAACCAAACACCGAAGCGTCGGAAAACGAGTGAAAGTAGTGATGATGCGGAAGTTATGTCCAAGTCGCAACGACGCAAACGGTTCAAAATGCGTATTGTAGATAGCGATGATGATGAAAAGTATGCAATTCACACGCCGCCTACTGCAGTGCCGGAACCAACAGAGTCGCTTGTTGATGTGGCACGCAAAAATCGAGATATTATCGATATACTGCAAAATGATCGAGCCAATGAATCGAATGACAATCTGCCTGCGCCTCAAACACCGACCTCACTACCGATGAACATCAGTCAGGATGCCGAATATGAAGAGATCGATTCGCGTATGCAATTAATGTTCGCGTCGCCTAAAATTGCAGACAAAACGTCGTCTAGAAATTCGCTAGCAGTCGCCAATCAGCTCAAGACTCAATTACTGCAGTCTAGTTTGAAGGATGGTGTAGTTGTAGCGGCTGTAACTGACACCGTTTCGTCCAATATTGCAGACGAAAGGACTCCTAACGACCAACTTGTGATCGAAAACTCGATTAAATCTCAGCCACTTTTGGACGATCGTGCAGTTGCAATCGGACCAACTTCGTCCAAATCTCCAAATACAGCGTCGTCTGAACATCCGGCTGTCGCGAATCCGATTAAATCCCAACTAATGCAGCAAGATTTGGACGATTGTGCAGTTGTAACGCACGTAAACGGTACCGAAGCACCAACCGGTATTGACTTAGCTACCAACGTAAGACCCGCTGACTTCAATATTACGGACAATTTCCTCAGCGACATCAGCGCCAACACTTTCCTCGCAACCGATATGAATGTAACCATAGAAGAAACCAATCATACCAACACCTCGCTCAGCGACAGCAGTTTGAGTACGAAGCACATTTCGCTCGGCTCGAGTGATTACCGTTTTGAAAAGGTTTCGGAGAATGTTGTAAACCTATTTATAACGCGTAAACGTCGCGGCAAGCGAAAGGCCACTGCCACAATAACAACAAATACAGTAACGGCAACTTAGCTTGTAAGCCCACCCCGAATGTTGTATATTCGAATATATATACTATATATATAGTTACAAAAACTGAATTGTATTTGTTTTTCACTGACTTCGTATACGCTTGTACTTATTAAACGTATTTACAAATATATATTTGTAAGGTAAAATTTTATAAAATTATTCAACACAATAACAATAACAAGAAATGTGCATCTTTTCTCCTAACGGTACATTCGCGCAGTGTCTCTTTATGTTCCGACTGCCTTACTCCACCGATTACCTTACTCCTCCGGCTGCCTTACTCCACCGATTACTTTACTCCACATTCTCCTCTGATCGTTTTACTCCTTCTTCTCCTTTAACCGCCTTATTGCTCCTTTTCCTTTCGTTCGCCCACCAAGAATCGCCTCACCACTGGCAGCCTATATACCGGCACCGATAATAGCGCGCCAACGCATGCACCAATCCAGTAGACTATGATATGCTCGATATTGGTGTGTCCGCGACAACCCCATTTGAGTGCGGTAGCCAGCACCGGGTTGAAGTAGCCGCCTGAGTAGTTGAATGCTGAAAACATCACATAATTAAAAGCGTAAACTTTTCTTGAGACGGATCTCACGTGTTCTATGGTTATGTTTGCACTGAGCTAAACTCTAAATTGTGTTCACTGTTTGATACACTTCTTGCCTACCTGCAACCACTAAACTGGTGCCGATGAACGAGTCAATGATGCTGCAGAATTTCGGGTCTTTCTCGCTGAGCGCCCTCGAGGCGAGACGGCAAAGTAGTGTGGCGAAACCTTCGATAGCGGCTCCGAGATAGGGATGTACCTGAAAAGTAAATTGAGTTAGTTCTCTTCTGCTGTGGAATAATATTTTATGAAAGTAGTTTGTGATCTTTTCATTGAGGTCGTTTTGTTTTTTACTTGGCGAGTCTCATGCGTAGCGCACAACCCTGGGGAGGGATGGTTCGCCTTCTCACTGTAGCTCGCCTACAAAGGAATGTTTTTTTTTTTTTTTGACTACCCACGGGATACTTGGTCTAAGACCGGAAGTTTTGAGCTGCTTGAGCCATTTGTAAAAGAATCGTGTTCGGCCAATCCTTAGTGAATGGTGCTCAGAGAACTTTCCTTCTACTTGCGTGTACTCCTACAAATACCGCCATCCCCGTTCTGCTATATGATGGAGGGGCCTGATGAGCCGGCATTACGAGTTTTCGAGAAGAAGGTTCTGCGAAAGACATAGTTCAGCGCCTTAGGAGACAGCGCCTACGCTGGCTAGATCATGTGACTGAATAGACAAAATCACTCCAGCTCTGAAAATATTTAACGCTGTACCCGTCGGGGGAAGCAGAGAGAGAGGAAGACCACCGCACCGTTGGAAAGACCAAGTGGAGAAGGACTTGGCTTCGCTTGGAAAGAAGAAGACATACAGACGGGCAGACGGGCAGACAGAAGGACATGGCTAATTCGACTCAGCTCGTCATGCTCATCTTTGGTATATGTATATATTTTATAGGTTCTCGGACGTTCCTTTCTCGGTGTTACAAACTGCGAGGCAAATTTGTTATTGGAAGGACTAGGTATGGAAGGACTTGGCTTCGCTTGGAAAGAAGAAGATATACAGACGGGCTCATCTTTAGTATATGTATATATTTTATAGGTTCTCGGACGTTCCTTTCTGGGTGTTACAAACTGCGAGTCAAATTTAATATACTTTTCAGGTTATTAAAATTATAATAGAATGGAAGCCCGACTAAATACGTAGCCGAGGTATGAGTAGACTTAGCTGTTGAAAATAGAAGTTTTCCCGTACAAACCCCGTGATGGTTAAGACTCAAAATGCTATTTTTTGAAAAAAGAAGAGTTAAAGACAGTTCTTTTTTCCGAAGACAGTCCCAAAAAGTGTTGCAAAATGAAAGGAAAAGTTAAATTGTTAACATTATCAACTCCGTATAACTCCATTTTAGCTGAGTGCTAAGTTTGACAAAAATATTTTAGCTGCTGGTAGTGTGAGAATGAAATGAAATAAAAAAAAAACGTCTACTTACTTGTAAATCCGCATTGCATTCCTCAAAAGCGCGTCCCTTATGTGTTTCGGCAAATTCGAACCACCAAAAAACCTGCACAATACGATAGACGCAGCAACCACCCATCAGTTCGGCCCATGTACGCAATGCAACCTCCTTAAAGGATGTCTTGCCTTCCACCAAGTCTTCCATATGTGTGTATGGACAGGCGGAAGCGTCACCCCAGACCTTGCCCCACCAGACGGTTAGCATAAACAGAAAGATTGCGTATGCAGCAACGCCGAAGTTGTCAGCCACTAAGTGGACGAAGAAAAGAGCACGTTTTACATGTCATATAAAAGCGCTTACAACACTGGAGTCTAGACTAATTTTTATATATGTATTATGTAGCTAAACACTTACCGATTATTAGTTCGAAGCAACAAGCACACAATTCAGCTGCAGCGATCGCCTCGTTAACGAGCACCGGCACAATGCCTTCGCGATCGACAAAACGTTTGGCGAGCCGGCGTGCGACTTGGGCAAGCACACAGTAGCCGATCATAAAACCGGTACTGATACCCAGCGATGTCATGGACATTTTGTCGATTTTCGATTCTACTTAAACTATGCCTTAAGTCTATGACTAGATTGGTTTGGTTGTTCCTGGAGAACCTCCAGAGATAGAGATCCTGTGGGGGAAAAATATGATACTTATTTGTAATACATAACGCCATTATTTGATATGAGATTTTATAAGTGGGTTTTAGTATAATATTTGGAGAGTGGTATTCTGGGACTACATTATATAATATTATAATTTTGGCAGTTTAGTAGAATCTTAAGTACTGTCTGGGCTTAAGTACGAAAAACAACGAACAAACTGGCATTTTATTTAATAAATAAGAATAATAATGACCAATGATGAATGGCGATTCATTTTGAAAAATTTTGCAATCCTTAAAAATCGAATTTGTTATCAAAAACATTATTTTTCGATCACCACCCGATAAATACATTTAAGAAGGTCGAGTTGATCAGATCAGCCGTTTCGGAAAAGTTTTTCTCGCTGATTCTAAAAACAGTGTTTCGCTAAAAAGGCGTTTAAAGTTACGGGAGCCGATTATGGCAAGTAAACAACAACAATAAATCATACAAATTATTGTATACTATTATATTCGAAATCCGGCTATTTGCTCGATCAACTTCAAAATTTCGGAGAATATTCCCATGCTAAACAAAAAATCGATTTTTTGCTACCCATGTAGGATCTAACTTATGAAATCTCACAAAAAGAAAACATGAATTAATGTATTTTTTTTTAATTATTTCGAAGTTCGTTTTTTAGACGATAAACATAACAAGGATAATGTGGAAATATATTATATTGTATAAATTATTGTATAGTTTTTCACATCATAACCGCATTATTAGCAAATTTATTTTTTTAATGCTTTTCCTGAAATTTTATATTCAATTTTTATTCACTTCATTCATTCCTCTCATTCATATTAAAATTATAGGCACTATAATAGTTGTGTTCGTGTTGTAATCATATTCAATCAAAATTTTTGCCGAGAAAACCCAAATTGCTTGTCGCTGTCCACACTTGTCCCCCTTTTTGTAGATTTTCCGCTACTCATCACTGAGTTGTCGAGAGAATTAGTTCAGTTTGCTGGCGTTACTAAAAATAGTATGACATTTGAATTTTCACATAAGATCACCGACGTTGTATGTCTAACACATTATTATTGTGTTTCTACTAAATATTTGCTAAATATTTTACTGCAATTAACACATTTTATGCAACAATAAATCACTACAACTACCACTTGTAACATCAATCAATTAGCAATGCGACCGCGACGAAATTTTTGATCTTGAGTTTGATCAGCATAGCCATAGTATAATGAGTAATGTGTGCAGGCACTGATCATAGGACAAAAAATACTATATATTTGAAGGCACACTTTTCTAATACTCCAATTTACCCGTTAGAATTGTTGTGACCGCACCGATGAACGAGAGCTGACTATTGGTCGCTTGGCGATCTGTCGCCAACGCCGCTCTTGGCGCACTCGGCGCATCATCGATTGAGAATTATGTTGTTTTCCCAAGGCACGTGATTTGTTGCTATTATTCACACATGTTATGTCTGAGCATAGCTGAGCTGAAAGTAAAGTGTAATATTTTTTAGCAATTTGTTTTGTAATTACAGTAAATAAATAGTGGTAAAATCTTACTTGCATAGGTTATCATCTAATTATCGTCATTTGCTCATCATTCATTTTAAGACTCTTCAAGAAAGGTAAACACTGCAAATATATGAATTGATGAATAACATGAATGATATCTTATCGATAGTTGGAACAGTAAGTCGGCAGTGAAAGGTTGAGGTGGCATTAGGCTGTGTTTTCTTATACTGCTGCTTTCAGCATTTTGCCGCACAATTTTCAAATTCTGAATTGATCCAGGTGAACAATTTCTTCGCACTTGCATTTCTTTATATTTTTTGGAAACATTTCAAAAATATTCAGTTAACTCAGCTGATGTCTCTCCTACTGTCAGTTCGGTGTATAAATGCAATTTTATCGTGTATATACATATACATACATACATATGTATATGTTTTCCATTTTGATATTTTTTTCTGTCTAATACGTCTAATTTTTCCGATACATTTACTAAACATGTGTTAACAATTAGATATGGATATTATCCGAATTGATAGTGTCCAATAAATAAAATCGTGTATGCCCTTGAACCTTAATAAATTAAAGAAAAAGCTGACACGAAACAATGCTCAAAAGAATATTTTCGGATTTTTCGTCGTAGAACAGATAATATTTTAATAAATTTAAAATTCATTGTAACTACTCAACTCTTTCCGGTTTACTTTGGAAATTCAAATCTGCAAACTACGTCTATATCCGCATATTTTCGAAAATCGAAAATCTTCAGTGGTCCTCGACTCATAAGAACTGTCAAAATAAACAGCTGTGCTTGTTTACATGTGCGTCTTCGAACTTAAACAGCTGTTCTAGTACCGGTGTGTGGATTATTTATAAATTTTAACAAATAATTAAATAACAGTGAGCGCTTTGTGTCTTTTAAATGTGAATAAAAATAATATACATTTTTATATATTCTTACAGATGAGTTTAAGCCTGTTAATACGTACACATGCATTGGGCAAATCACTGCGTACAATATCGAAGCAACTAAAATTTTCCAACACCTACTCCACTTGTGGCAGCACGGCGCTACTTGCGCAATCATTTACCTGTAAATCCACATTTGGCTCCTTAAATTATACCACAACTGCCACAACAGGCAATAATAGTGCAACGCCGCAATGGACAACAATATACCGTCTGCCACTTATACGCCTGGCGGCCGGTTTTCAACGTCTGAAAATATACCAAGGAGTGCTGACGGCCCTAGCATTACCAATTAGTTTTACATTAGCAGAATTTGGCACTATTTCACTCAATTCCGTTGCCATTGTTGGCGCTATTGGCGTGTCCGGACTTGTAACGCTAACGTTGTTTAGCCTGCTAATACGTAATGTAGTTGGTTTTATTTATATTAATGGTGAGCTTAACAAAGTGAAGGTCGCTTATGTCGATTTCTGGGGCAAGCGTACTGATGCAATTATAGACATAAATGATTTGGACGTTGAGTGGGCAAAAGCGCATCCCACAGCATATAACCTTTACCAGAACATACGTTTGTATAGTGATAAGACTAAGTCGTTTAAGTTGTTACTGAACTATGGTGTTATTGTAGAACCGGAAACTTTTTGTGGGATATTTGGCGAATAAAAAACTCAGTTTGTGTGTAGAAGTGGAAGCATAAGTTAAAATACTATAATTGAGCTTTCTAGAACGCATTGATTGTACTGTAACTAATAATAGAATAAGAAGTTGAAATAAATTTTGTTAAGTAATTAAATTAATTTTTATTTTTTGCATTCATTTTATATAATGTAACACTTGCACTGCTTTTTTTACTCAATTTACTGCTCAATGTGCCGAGTTTTGTTATTTTGAAGTTTAAGTACCGTTATTATTTTCCAACAATACTTATGTGTTACTTAGTACAACGTGAGTAAAGTGTGACAGCTAATTAGAAACAGTTGTGCAATGATAACTTACTGTGCTGTTTTAAAAATTATACCACACATTTTTGGTAAGTATTTGCTTTACATTTATTGTTTAATATAAACTGAAATTTTTACCTTGAAGATTTATAATGGGTAAATGATGCAGCTGGTCACCTGCTATGCGCAGCTCTATTTTTGAAATTCGTAAAGCTGCAAAGTCATACAGCAAAATTGCAGAGCAGGTGTAATGTTCTAAAAAAATAGTTTTTAATGCCTTGAAGCATATTGAGAATTAGAAAACTGTTGCTAATGTTGCACGTAAAAAAAGGCCACGGAAAACTTCGGCAGAAGCAGACAGGAGGATAGCAGTGATCTCCCTAAAAGACTCAAAAAAGAGTTCCTCCGACATTCAACGGAAAATTCAGGAAGAATACGGTATATGAATATCGAAGAGAACAAACAACCAGGAATTGTGTTTCACGCGTAGTTCACTCATGGTGTGGGGATGCTTCTCCTGGAATGATGTTGGTCCACTCCATAGGTTTGATGGAAATTCGTAGACATTCTGAAAAACGTTATGTTGCCGTGAGTTGAAGAGAATTTGCCTGTTGTATGGAAATTTCAACAGGATAACGATCCAAAGAACACGTCGAAGTTAACGAAATTGTTTTTTTAAGAATGTTTTGGAATGGCCCTCATCCAGTCCGGACTTGAACCCCATTGAACATCTCTGGAGTGATGTTAAAAGAGTCGTCAGCGCCAAAAATATACCTAATATGGATGTCCTTTTTGAGGAAGTAAAAACGGCGTGGGAAGCAATACCAGTGGCGCGCTGTCAAAGTCTTATTACATCAATGCGTCGTCGATGTGAGGCAGTGTTAAAACAAAAGGGATATGAAACCAAATACTAAAGGTAAATACAGATATCAGTTTTCTTAGTATAATAACTTTTTTTTTTTGATAAAATACTTCCGTTTCTAATTAGATGTCGCACTCAATGCGTGGATTTCACACATTCAAAAAAAAAAAAAAAAAAATTAAAAACGCATTTTCAATAAAACATTTTCTCTTTGTTTTTAAAACAGCTGTATGTATACATACATACATATGTTTGCTGCATTAGGTTCGTGTGTTTACATTCATATATGTTTCTTGTAAACTTGAAAAAGTAGCTTTATAATAAATATAATTTTTCAACAATAACTATATAAATAGGTACTTTTTTGCCGCTCATAAAAATTTTAAAAAAGAAACCATATTTTATAATAATATTTGCTGCGGTAAGTTGGTGGTGCAAAATATGCCACACCAACTCTCTGTTGTTGTAACTGTAGCTGCAGAAAACAATTTTGAAATAATTTCGAGGAATCGTGCGAGTCGACAGTCCTTGGGCAGATAAAAAATCGTGTCCGTTCCGGTTACTTAAACCCGACTGGGAGTGCTTCTATCTGTTTGTAGCACATACACATGTATTTCTTATAAATATATGATAAAAAGCTATATTTTATACATATAAATTCTTAATATAACAGCTGATCTTAAAGTTAAAATAAAATATGTAAAGCCACACTTATGGTTCAACATGTCGCGCTGTATAACTGGGTTGCATTTCATCGCCGCTGTTTGCTGCATCTCCATCAGCATTGATACTCACAACGACTTGCTCTTCCGATACAGCTGCAGCGGCTGGTTTCTTAATAGGCGTTGCTTTGTTCATTTGTTTTGCCTCAGCGACCTGCAGCAAAAAGGCGTAAAGTTATTGTTGTTGTGTTGCATTTAACGATAATTACTGCTAAAAACACTTGTTAGACGAGACCGAGTTGCTTATACATATGTATATAAGAAAGTGTGTTTGGATATTGTATGTGCGGATACATAAGGGTTTCTGTCATTTTTAAATTTGTTAGTTGTTGTTTTTTTTTTTTTTGCAAGCGCCTTTGAATTTTTAGTTCTGCCCTAAAGAAATTTCCAACGTAAACAAGCTATTTTCATTTTACTTTTGACATGACTTTTGACTTTTAACATGGGCTTTTTTGTCTTTTGCACTAAATTTTTTATCCCCAAAGCAAATAAACCGACGAATAGGAAATTCGAATGAAAAATGTAAAGTTTCTGAAAAAAAGTTCTATTGTTTTTTTCCATGAAAGTATTCCTTTCAAAGTTACAGGCAGTTAAAGTTATGCATCAATCGTACTGTACGAGTATTCATATTATTCGTACAGTACACCGCATCGTATGAGCAACACAGAATTGACAAGGCACTTGTATAAATACGCTGTCAATTGATGTCTAACTTTGGTTGGGTATAACTTTTAAACATTTTTTGTAAGCGCTAATTTTTGTATTTTTTTTTTGAACTTGTAGATTTGTTTATTTTATTGAAAATGCGTTCAAAAAAAACACCACTGTTGAATACATGGAAAAATAAATATGATTTAGGCAACACTGAAAATAAAGTGCTTGTTTATTTTGTATTATTATTTTGCTGCAAAAACTGAAACTTCAGGAAGCGTTTGCAAAAAAAAGTCAACTTGTAAAATAATAAACACCCCAATGGACGTATGTATGTATGTACACTCACCGTATCAGGCAGTTTCTTTCGAAATGTTTCTGGTAACAATAGCCCCAAAAGACCTGCTGAGAAGGATGCAGCTCCAAAGAGTAGTAGTGGCAATGCTTCGTAATACGTTCCCTGAAAAAAAAAATGTTTATATATTGTTTATGTATGTATAATATAATAAAGATGTTTGTAGATTACCAAAAGCGGCACAAAAGGTGCAAGCATTGCGCCAAAACGGGCAAAAGTAGACATTACACCAACTCCACCACTACGTATTAACTGTAAATAGAACGCATGGAAATTTAATTATTAACAGCTGTTTAGTGTCGTTCGAATGTAAAAATGTCGTTAAAATGTAGAAAATAAATGTTTAGCACATTAAAAACGCAATTATTGAAAATTGTGTAATATTAAACAACTCGCATATATATACATACATATCGTGAGTAAATATGTAATATTGAAAAAGTTGTTATTTAACTTTAACATGGAAAACTAATACTTCAATACATATACATACATAAATAAATTTATAACTGTTCAAAATATTATTTTATTTAAAAATGAGGATAAAGAATAAATTAAACAAAAATAAATAAGTAAT